TGCGGTACGCGGGCCTCTCACTGTTGTGGCCTCTCCCGTTGTGGAGCGCAGGCTCCGGACATGCAGACTCAGCGGCCATGGCTCACGGGCCCAGCCACACTGTAGCATGTGGGATCTTCCCGGACCAGGGCACGAACCCGTGTCCCCTGCATCGGCAGGCGGACTCTCAACCACTGTGCCACCAGGGAAGCCCCAGATGCACCTTTGAAGTCATGCTTTTCTCAGATGAATGCACCGGTGAATGGAAAACCTTTGAGAACGTTCAGATTCTCAGCAGAGAGAGGGAGTCAACATTTGTCTTGTGGCAAAATTTAAAACTGGCCAAGAGGCAGCAGAAGGCCAGTTCCAGAAAACCTGGGGCTCGAGTTATAGCTGTTCCTTGTTCTCTGGGAAAAGGTCAAAGGTAGATTCTGTTTCAAGTAATGAGCCATGTTCTCTTGGTGCCTGGGGAAGGTTCACTGGGTTGAACATGGTTGTGGATGTATATGTACGAGTTGTGTTTTAAGCATGGGGGGCATCTCTGTTACACGCCACTCAGCTTCCAAACACTCTTGTGCTCAGAGCCTTCTTTTTTTTGGCTGCGTTGAGTCTTCATTGCTGTGCGCAGGATTTCTCTAGTTGCGACGACCAGGGGCTACCCTTTGCTGTGGTGTGTGGGCTTCTCATTGTGGTGGCTTCTCTTGTTGTGAAGCACGGGCTCTAGGCGTGCGGGCTTCAGTAGTTGTGGCTCACGGACTTAGTTGCCCTGTGGCATGTAGGATCTTCCCGGACCAGGGATTGAACCTGTTTCCCCTGCATTGGCAGGCAGATTCTCAAACATTCTCAAACATTGCACCACCAGGAAAGTCCCTCAGATGTACGTTTGAGACCTTTCTCATAGGTCTCTAGGCCATGACTATGCTGGCAGGATATGACAGGAAGCAAAAAGCAAGTGAGAGGCCAGCACACATTGAGGCTGGGGCTCACAGGTGCATCTGAACAGGGTCACTGTGGGTCCAGAGTCCTACAGTTCAAGTCAATAGCCTTGAATTCAGACCCAGTCCCTGTGACTAAGTGGTGATCATGAGTGAAGCTCTCAACCCTTTTGAGCATCATTTCTTTAGCTATAAAATAAGCAGAATTAACCCCCAGCTTGCTGTTAGGCTATGAGACAGCATGAAGATGTTCTGTGCAATTCCTGGTACAAAGTTCATGCTTAATAAATGTTAAATGGAAACAGAATCTTGTTCTTAATCTTTGTGGTTCAAAAACAAAATTAGCTCACTGAAAGGGGTGTTTAGCTGCTAGTAAAGCAATTCACAAAATCTAAGCTTTAAAGAAACCATCTTATAAACTACATGCAGTTTATTTATTGCCCAAAGGAGAACTGGCTGGCCAAATAACTAGTCTCAGGGAAGACACTCTTGGGGCCAGTAAAGAAATGGTGGTCAACTCAAGGAATATTTAGTAAGTAGCTATCATGTGCCTGGCATGAGTTAGTGTTCGGGATAGTGATATGGAAACGGGTCCATGCTCTTAATGGAGACATAATCACAAAAAATGTAACTATAACACAGGTGAGATATTGGCAACACAAGAAATGACAGTCAGCACAGAGGAGAGTGGGGAACTTCAGGGAGGTCAGGGAAGGCTGGCAGAGGAGGCAACATGTGCAGAGTTTC